AAGCAGTAGATGACATCTGAATGGAACTGTTCACAACTGGATATTTAAAATCAAATTTTTGACACATAACATATTAAAATCTCACAACATAATTTTGTGAGCACTTGAACTCACAAATATCCACAAATAATAATAAAGAAAACCTTACTTTCCTAGCAATCAAGAAGAAAAAGGTATGTTGCTAAACATATTTTTCACAAAGATACATGTATCTATTGTAGATTAGCTATTTAAATTATAGATATATGATATTATGTAATGACAAAGAACTTTGAAATTCTCTCCAAAATCCCAATTTCGCGACGCACCTCCAAACTTTGACATTCTAAACCAAATCCGATATCAAGGGTACCAAAAAGGGTGAGAATCACATATTGTGCTCGAAGCACCATGAGGCGTTATCTACGAGTCACATTATTTGAGAATGCAACCCAAATTCTATCCGAGACTAAATACAACAATACAATCTACTCCAAAAGTCATATACATTCCCTAACACTTTGTTTGGATCATTGTTGTCCATTATATTGTATTGTATCGTTCTCATACCTATAATGTTTGTTTGATTGTTACTTAAAATGTATTGTATTGTTAAATTTTGTTGTTACGTAACAATGAAATCCTCATTTTATGGAACAACTGATTCGGTGTGTTCCCATTGTTACTTAATTTCTTTTTTCCAATCATGTCCTTACATAATATTTCATAATACTATTTTACCCTTTACCCTATATTATTTAATTCTAATCAAACCTCCTACCAAAAAATAATTAAGGATATTTTAGTAAATTTATAAATTACAATATAGTATAATACAGTCAAACTAAACAATAAAAATGTTATTAAATAACAACAAACAACACAGTCTAGTCAAACATTATATTTATCTTATAATACAATACAATAGAGTACAATATAGTACATTATAAAACAATGAGTAACAATGATCCAAACAGAGTGCAAAACAAAATACGATACAATACTGTAGCATAATTAGTACAATTATTAGCTAAACATGAAGTGACGTTGTAGATTCAAACAAAAGTCAGAATTGTGAAATCAAAAACATCGTTTTGCCTGGAATCCCAAAAAATGGCGTCTGCCAGTAATCCACAATCCTTGTTCAATGTTTTCGTCTACGGCAGTCTTTTAGCTGACGACGTCGTTCGTGCTCTCCTCAAACGGGTCCCACCTTCTTCACCTGCGATTCTCCACAACTTGTCCGTTTCTTTATTCCTTGTTTTCCATTCTTCTTGTATATATAAATGTGTTCTTATCTTTTTGTGGGTATTATTTAAATTTATCAAATACAGTAAAAGATTTTATTTTTTTGGGGGATAAAAATACTTAAAAGAGTGAAATTCTGGAATCTGCAGAGTTCTAGTGAATGAATCTTGATTAGTGTTCAATAAATGTGACATTTTTAGTGTACCCTTTTAGCTTATGGGTGTAAAATGATGTTGAAATTTGATTTTCAGTTGATATCTGGAATTGTTTTATCTTGAAATTAGAAACCTGATAGTGAAAACACTATATGTTAAAGTTTCTTCAAAATGTGTATGGATATTCTTCATTTTGAGATGAATCAGATAGAAAATTGTGATTTTAATGTATCGAAGTTTCAACATGTTCTTAGTTGTGGTTCTTGAAAATATCATGTTGTAGATGTTAACAATTGTAACATTTATAAGTACATCTTACTTTGCATTGAGATATCCCTGGATTCTGTTTGTTTGTTCTTTACTAGGAGTTCCTAATTCTAGTTAATGAGATTTTTTATTTTTTATTTTTGAGTGTTTACGTTAATGTCTGTTGATTTTGTTGTTTCTTTAAGTAATAGAGTGATAGATTTTCTACGCATTGACTATGTTGCTTTGCTTTGCTTCAGCCATAGGTTTAGCATCAAAGGGTGTGTTTATCCGGCCATTCTACCTGTAGAAAACAAGAAAGTTAATGGCAAGGTTTGTTTGACATATTTCACTTGTTGTCATAGAGAATTTACAATGTCTCAAAAGTACTATGTCATAGCTGTTCCAGATATGCTAAATCGATGAATCACTTAATTATCATCTAAAAGTGAGATTAATGAAAAGTGAATTGATTGATTGGCATTGGGGAACTTAAGTTTACTTAAAAGTACATAACTTTCATCACAATTCTGTTGTTAAAAGTGGAATAATTGCCATACTATTGATTTAGTTCTCCCAATAACATTACATATATGCATTACTTGCATCCAGTGAGTGGCTGCTGAAGGTCACTCAGAGCATAGCTTACATACTAGTCCATTCACATAAAATTGAAGATTTGGTGCATAAATGTGAGTGACCTCCAATATTGAGGTCCAGGAACTTCAGATCAATCCATGTACTATGCAATTAAAAAGTAGGAGTAAGAACAACTGCTGCTTGCAATCCCTTCTCATTGAGATCTTAACGGGAAATGTAAGATCTGACCCTCTTACTGATCTCTGATGTTTGTTTTGACAAAATGCAGGTTCTTTCAGGTATCACTGTTCCGGAATTGGATATCTTGGATAAATTTGAGGACGTTGAGTATGAAAGGAAAACTGTTGATGTTTCCCTGATGGTATTGATACACTGAAATTGTTCTTGTTATAGCAGTGGCAAATCTCAGAATGCTTGAGTGCTCTTTGAGTAGTTGTACCTTATCCATGTTTATCTTATTGTTTAAATGTTTCTTCGTTGACTAGGAGGCAGAAGTCTAGTGTGCTTGGGAGGTGGAGGTTTTTAGGTCTTTATTATCGACTATAGATGATTACAACTTCATAGGTACAACCAGCTAGTCATAGTGATATCCTTGCCTATTGCTTTTTAGTTCGTTTAAGAACATCATGGTTGGCATAAATGGACCGGAATAGCTAGGTTTGATTCATTTAGTTCTCCCACCTATTTCAGATAGTTTTGGCACTTCTGGGTATTTACTCATCAGTTTGATTCCAATATCTAGTTTGTCTTTGGAGCAACATTATGTGAGGCCTGTTGAAATCAGTTGCCTATTTGTAATGTATTTATCTGGTTCACAAGAGATGTCATTGGCTTTTTGCAGGACAGTTCCGATACATTAATGGTTGAAGCATATATTTGGGCTGACCAGAGTGACCCAAATTTGTTTGGGGAATGGGACTTTGAGGTAATATGAGATCTTGTATCAGTTGCTTCTCTTCTTAACTATGATCCTGTAAAAGCTAGTTCTCGTACTTATATGAAAAATGCCTTGAAAGGAATGGGAACGATTGCACAAGCAAAGCTTCATGAAAATGACAATGGAGTTTCTGGAAGAACTGGAGCAACCTAACCAAAGTGGCAGCATATAAATCCTACTATAGGCGATGGAGTTGCTTCAACATGTAATTCAGTTTGAGCTGCATAAGTACTGTTACTCTATTACTTCTGTTGTATTATAAGCAGTGGTTTCCCTTGCCTTTTCCTTCTGGGACAGGAAGTGACAGCAATTAATCTTGTGAAAATTTCAGTCAGCATACACACAAATTTCAAACAAAAATGGTGTTATTTGTGCCTGATGTGACTGATCACATTTACCATTTCTTTTCTTCTAAATTCTTGGCTTTTCAAATTTGTCATTTTCGTTTTTTCCCTCCCCTTGGTTAATGTTATATGTACCACATCTTTATGATATACATTTCTCCTTTTTAGCTTTGAAAAAAGGGAAACAGTCTAAATTTGCAATCTGTTACTCCCTCCATCCCATATTATAAGTCATCCTTTTCTAAAAATATTTGGACCACAATATATGTCATTTTATAAAATTTATGCATAAATTACCATGTTTTGCCCATTATACCCTTGATTGATTAATTAATTAATCTTGAAAATGTATTTACTTTGACTAACCTAGGAAATCTACAAGTAATTAATTTCATTGGGAGAGTACTTCATTCATTAATTAACTACTTTCTTTATTCATTACTTATTCTATAAAATCTGATTTTGAAAAAAAATATCAACAAGCAAATTAAAAATAAAAGATGGAAAAAAATTCAAAAATAATCTTGAAAGTTGAAGCTTCAATAAATTTTATCAAAGAAGATGACATTTCAAAAAGTTCAAAGGATGTAAAAATAGAAGACTCAACCAAAATATGTGAAGGCCAAATTGAGAAAAATCAAGATTCAAATAAAGGAGTAATGCACCATTTAAATTAAAAAACAAATGATTTGACGAACTATTCATTTGTCGTCTAATTTCATTATCAATAACATCAGATTCAACAGGAAAATTTAGATCAATTAGAAGTAATGGAATTTGAATATTTTGTGATGTTGTCATGTTTGCTTTAAGAATTTATATATAGAAATATAAAAAAACATTTTACACAAAATATATAAGAAAATTGAGGTGGAAAAAACTTGATTTTTTATTTTTTTTGAATCAATTGGTGAAAAAATTTGGCTCCAAAAAGTAAAATTTAAATAGTCATCCAAATGCATTTATATTTTTGAAATCTAACATTTCATCATTTATTACAAAATTGTCATAAGCAAACATTAAATAAGGGCATAAGGGTAAAATTACCTTATTTCTTAATGCAAGTGCAAATGGAAAAGGTGACTTATAATATGAGACGGAGGGAGTAATAGTTGGGGTCAAATTTACCCCCTTGTCGTCAGTTTCAACTTTTTCATGTTTCAATCACAATTTTTGAAAAATATTTTCTCGAGAAAATTCAAGTTCCTTGAGAATGAGGAAAATGAAGAGAAACATGTTTCCACATTGATAGTCTCCTCTCTAGCTAGCATTTAAAAGATCAACTAGAGAGAATACTTAGCATCACATCTTCAAAACAAACACTTATAATTAAAAAACATCACACAAAAGTTCAACAGACTTTTCACCATAATGCATTTTATTGAAGATATAGTGGAAATTCAGATTATATATGTGAAAGTTCAGAATAGAAAGTTTAACACAGTGGAATTCTACTAATGATGTTACTCTTTTTTTTTCAAGTCTTGAAATCTAATTTGCAGAATTTAATTCTGCTTGGGAGGGTTGCGACGACGAATTTTTAGATAGCCGAACCTTCCAGCGCCAGGAGATGAGCCTTCAAAAAGAATAGGCAAATATCCTGTTGCAGCTTTATATCTGCGTTGTATCTGCACATCCAAAATAGTTGGCAAAAAAAAAAGCCTTGATGTTATGCTAAATCTATATCATCAATAGGAGAGTTCCAAAAATTTACACAGTGAAGGTTCATTCAGCTGAAGAAAAAACACATTTTCAATCCGTCGTGTTTCAAAGAATACATCTTTTGTGTTACAAAACTACCTTTCCAACTTACTGTTTCTACAAGTGTTCAGTACGTATAGAAGGTGATCCTTTTCTTGAATTGGGTGGAATAGTAATGGTTATCCAAAATATGGAGTAACTTTGAATGGACATGCCATTAAAAGGGAGGGAAATTACCTCGAGAATTTGTTCACTGCTCTTAAGCGAATTCCTGCCAATTACACACACAGTTCCACCAGATCCTCCGCCTGTAATTTTTGCACCATACAATGTCCCTTCTCCAGATTTTGATGCTTTACTGTGCTGCATTTCTTGAACTAGTTGGACGAGCCTATTTGTTCCATCCGAACCTAGTCCACAATCACTGTAACTGTAGTGGCACTGCAAATAAAGTGCAATAGAAAGACATAAATTTACAGTGATATGTCAGATTCGTATAAAAATATGAGCTTTTGAGAATATCTTTGATCCTTTGTAAATTGGGAGAATCATTAAACAGAAAATCAGGAGTTTCTGTATTATAAGTAAACCAAAAAAATATAAGTATTAGTTTCAGAACAAGCTTTCTGTATTTGATTCAATTTGTTGTCCCTCTGGCTTAATTGCGGATCTGAGGTTCTCTACATATCAACGCTATAAGATTGTTGCCAAGAATGACCTTCAAGCAATCCTTCAATGAGACTTATTGATTAGGAGATTAATCTTTCTTACAACAAGAAAATACCAATTTTAATTGTAACCTTACTATAATTCTTCCTTCAGAATTGCTTCTTTTCGAAAATACAAGGAGAAAAGCAGTAATAAAGAAAAGCTAATTATGATTGCTCTTGCCTTTGAACCCCAGCTCAACATGTTATCCCAGAGCATTGACAGGGCAGAGACTGGAATACTGAAACTAAAAAAGGGAAATACAAGATGGGTTATATATCCAGATACCTGATACAATAGTTCTCCAAGAGCAGTCAGTTGATCATCTGAAGTCGCAGATGTTAGCAGCGCTTTAAAGGCCTGTCATCAATATTTCAAAGCATCACTCATATCACATATATTCTGCACATTAAGTTGATAAGTAGTTTAAATCTTGTTTAACATTAAAATATCTCTCTCATCCCATTGCATATGCCAAGTCTAACAGAAGTCCACACAAACTGGCAATTTCCTTGATCTTTTCAGGTCCAAACAGTGATTCCTAGCTTTTCTCTTCTTCTTTTTTTTTGGGGGGGGGGGGGGGGGGGGAGGGTATCATTAAACTTAGCAAACCCACAAGTGCTGATGACGAGTATTTCCTTGTGTTCTTGTCCTCACGTTGAAGCAATAAGCATTTGCACCTCTGTATCCAAGTATATCTTGTCTAGGGAGCCAGTTCTCCCTGTATAATTGTCTTCTTCCTTGAATGTTCTTCTAACAGATTTCCTGGCTCATACTTCTCTAATAAAATCCAGTTTCGAAAGTCGTTCTATCTTTTTTATTCTTCGTTCTTCTGCAATGTTTTGCTTTATTTTTTCAGTCTTCAATTTCTTGGCCATAATGTAATCAGCTCTCCATCTTGTAACGTTGATGTCTAGCTTAAGTTTGTTTATATTGTGTTTTGGTTGCTTGTTTGTTGTAGCTTCTATCTTTTTCTTTAAGAAATAATGGGCGATCAAGGCTTTGCATTTCCTATTATGTTTCAGAGGTGCAGTAACACTTGCAAATTGTAATGAGACAAAAGTTCAAACCACTCAATTACTTCATTCCCCTAAAGATATGAATCGCCTAGACTCGGGACAATGTCCTCCTCCATCAACTATGGAGACAATATAAATTGGTCATCATTTCCATAATCCGTAAAATCCTATGAACGTCCAGAAACCAGGACACCATAATCTAAAGACATTCAATTATACAAGAAATAAATAGTAGTAAAACTGTAGATAGGATATGAAGAAAAAAAAATTGCTTCAAATATGTCAATCACAAATTGGCCACTTCAAGAAAACTAACCTTCACACGGAAGTTCTCGTAAATAGGGTGTCTGGCAGCTGCTCTGACCCCATAATTACGTGTTTTGTCAATTGTCGTTACCGGATCACAGTGGTCAGAGTACTTTCCAACAAATGACTCACCAATTAAAGAATCAGGAAGCATCTTGGCATACATAGCCTCGTATCTACAATAGCAATACCATTTATGAATTATACAAACCAAGAGATCGATCTGATTGGAACAGCCACAAACAAGCCAAGCATCCCCAAGACATGATGCTCTTATTGTTATTTGTGTCAACAATCTATCTTTTATTTTTTTTCACCATAGTTAAAGTATGGATGAATTCATTGTGGAGGACAAGGAGAACATGTTTTTCTTTTTGACCAAGAAAGGAATTTGAATGGGAGGAGAAAGGGAGTCATGTATGGTAAAAATTGGCCCAGGGTGTGTGGGGCATGATAGCACAATCTAAAAGCTTGCTGACTGTTACAGATGAATAACATTTAAGCAAAAAGAAGTGAAAACAGCCAATAGTGCAGAGGAAAACAGGAAAAAGAGGAGAGATCACATGCATTGAGAAAGAACTAATAACAATCAGAATGGAAATGAAAAATGCTCCCTTCTTCTTCTAGCACTACCAGTGTCATGATTTTACCTGTGCGGTGAAAGGTTGCATAAGTAATCTAATGAAGCTTCAGCTTCTAGTAATTCGACACCACCTTCCTCTGAATCATCAGGGTATCTGCCATTGGTTGACAAGGACTGTGACAATAGTGTTGACGCAATAGACTTGACAATCTCTCGGCCCATAAAGGCACCAATCCTCACAGATCCATAATCTGCACCTCCAACACTGCACAGTGGTGGGTAAATCTTAAAACATGGATGGAGAAGGAGAAAGTGCATATTTATGTTTTGCACATCAACAAAACATAAAGTGAGTAACTGGTTTATGCTAAATATGTCAAATCAATGAAGCTTAAGAAAGAGCTAGTAACTAGTCAATGCATTTAGTATCAATGCTTTTTCCTGTAGCTATTCTTGAAGCAGTACAAAGTTTCCTCAATCTTCACCATCGCATGCAGCCACAGTGAAGATTTGGTTTCTTTCTTAGGAATTTTATATTACGTTAATGTGACTTGCATTTGCACTGAAATTCAATATTTCAAAGGCAATCCTAAAGATTTACAAGCTTTCCTGGAGCTGTGGCAGTTTGATGGTTCAATTTTATCAAATATTAAAAGAGATTACCAGAAAACAATGTACTGTGAGATTGAGAGGGTTGGTATCCTTCGAAGGAATGGGAATATTCATCCACTCTTTTTGGAGGTGTCAGCACACGCAGACCAGGTCAAATATCTTGTATTGCTTATTTTATTTTTGTATACTTTCTACTATAATTCTCATATCAGTTTCAATCCAGTGTTTTGATCATCTTTTCCCTATTAATGTTTCACAGATGCAGTATTTTCCTAATGTTTCGATGACAAAATTGGACTAACCGGCCTTTTACTTTCCAACTGATTGGGTTTTCGTTCTGGAACTTAAAGATGATTATCACTCAATCATGGAAGACATGAAGGGCTTTAACCAAATCAGATACAAAGAAACTGATTTTGGGGAATTCGAAATTTCGACAATGAAGTTCAATGGAGCATGCATCTTTAGTGCAAGAAAATACTGCATGAGCTCAAATTAAATCAGCTTCGGCAAAAAGTGCAAAGCATGTTAGCTTGGCATCCATTAATCAGATCCCTGAAGCTAGACAAGCAAGGTTGTTTTTCTTCTAAAGAGGGTAAAAAAGGTACAGAAAATATTAAAACTGATACCTGTGCCTTATTCCTGAATCAATCCCCCATACTCTTATATGACCAGGGATATCCACTAGACCTAACACCTCTGCAGGCTGCAATAATAGGGAACTAATCTAAGTCATTCGTTAAACACCAATTCAGTAAAATTTTGTCAATTTATTGGGTCAGTACCTGACAAATCATTGCTAGAAGTTTGTTGGCTTCACCACATGCAGAAGTCATCTGATCCATTACACCACATGGCGCTCCAACTACATGATTTTCTACCTATCATCAACAGACTGACTAATCAGGTACTGCACTACTAGCGAACATCAAACCATTGGAAGATAAAAATTATCAATTGGAAGCCCTAGAGAAATAATACCTTTTGGCACAATAATGCAAGCTCCCTTGGGATAATATTCAACCCTGGAAAGCAAGAACGCAAGATTATGGGGTAATATCAAGAAAGTGTTCAAATTACTATGGATCAATTAAACAGGGAGCTTATACATCGTTGGACCAAAGAAAACTTTAATATCTTCTTTTAGGAAGCCTAAACAAAGGCATGCAAAAAGAAGAGTTAATACGGGACCAGTCACACCTTTTCCTAATGAGAGTAGTTCCCTGGTTATTTTGGTAGGGGTGGTCCAGGTAGATGTCCTTTACCAAACTCATGATATTTTGTCATGAAAATAGGAAGGCAGTATCACATTAATCTTTCAGGGACAGACAAGAATTAATTAAAATTTTCTTTTCCAGGTTGTTCAGATTTTCATGACCAAGTTCATGATTTTGTATGTTTTGCTCAACAATTGCCTAGTCACTAGTCATTAGGGCCATTATTGTATTTGTAATTACTGCAACTTTCTTCTCTCTTTGTTTCTCTTTCACGTTAACTTATATTGACAACCACACCCTTGGCCAATATAAAATTGTAAGCTGATGATTTTTCTTTTGATGAAGTTGTAAACTGATGAAGATTTAAGAGAGAACCTCATAAAGTTCCAAGAAAAATCTAAAAGGCTATGTCTACAGAATGCCTTTAAGGCAAATGAAAGAAACACGGAATTAAGGGAATTAGTTACTCAGAATCAAGCATAAGAAAAGATAGTTTGGAGTAACATCATCAGCATGCGACTAGAGCTGTGAGGGAAAAAAGGGGTAAAAAGAAATGAGACATCTTAATGTACACTATGTTAAGTGCATTGATTGCTCTAAACTTTCAGAAGCATTTTATATGAACTAGATTTTTGCCCCTGAGGATGTCAACCAGGCTTCATGAATGCTTTCATGCTTCACACAAAAAGTTATTAGCAGGCTGTCAGCAACAATGTGTATCACGTGACAATTAATCCTATCATTTTTATACTCCAGTTCTTGGAGATACAACTTTAGCTGCACTCGAAGTCGTTATGGCTATTACTAACATAGACGACCATGAGTAGTGTTTCATTGACACGAATGGACACTTTCTAGTCTTAGTTGGGCCATTCCTTGGACTTGGTGAACTCCTGTTGAGATGAAGTAACCTTTGTTCATGCCTGAGATGTTTACAAACTCCCCCCTCCCTGTCGTCAGTTCCTTCCTATTTTACTATCATTTCATATTGTGCACCTAAACCAAGGGGGGAGTAGACCGTCCATGTGTGTGCACACACTCTTACCCAGTACAAGTTAGCATTGCTATGGTCTACTTTACATGATTCTTCTTGACAAATAAGTACATATTTCATTATAACATGTGCATAGTTATACAAATTAAATGGAAAGAGTAACTACCATGAGAAGCAGCAATGGCAGACATGCTAGCAACCTCCACAGATGCAGAGGATGACACACCCTTTCCTTCTGGGACAGCAGAAGAGACCTGCAAGTTCATAAAGGAGCGTCATCATAGATTATTTAAACTTTGCTTGTTCAATTGTGCAATTTGAGAACTTCAAATCTGATAATAGAAAGACACCAATTATTAAATCATAAATGTAAGAGATAATTTCAAAGACCTCCCCTTGGCTTTCATGTGATCACATCATAATAATAACCTCTCTTGTGGTTAATGATATTACACTCATCTCCCTTATTTGGATTTTTCTGTAAAGGTATAGGTGACATTCGTTGGAAAACCATATATTACGTCATTAAAAAAGGGTAGTCACCATTATCCGCGTAAAAGTGAATGAAACAGAACAAAATACCTATATTAGTAGCTAGGTAGTCTACCAACCTCTACACTGCCAAAGCTACTTTGCCGATGCAATGCCCATTGAGGCAACCACCATCAGAGGGTTTGACAGATCAGAAGGAAATATTGTGGGTAACTGTGAGATCTATGTCATATGGGTGGATATTATGGTGTGGTATAATCATTAGGATGAAATTTATGTTCACATGAAATGGAGACTAGTGTATGTAAGCAGCTCATGCTATCAGGATGTTAAGGGAGATGTTACCTATTGTAATGAGGTTTTAGCAAAAATCAAACTAACAGTATGCTACATTAAAAGGAATACATGGAGTAAACCAAGGCAATAGATTGTATCACCATTGAATGGCAGTGCATAGAAGAGAAACGTAGAACCGTCGCCTGTAATTTCAGTTATTCAAGTAATAGATATATAGACAGAATAAAAGAAAACAAGGCCATGAGTAATGGAGTTGGACTGACCAGCAAACTGATACTATTCTCAAAGCGTATGCCAAGCTCCTTCATCAAAACTAGAACTGTGCCAGCAACATATGCAGCCCATCTAAAATTGGATTGAAGTTAGTATAACAGACATTCAAGTAGGGAAAATGTAGAAGGGGAGAATGATAAACCTTTGGGAAGGATCTCGGGCAAAATACTGCCTTGCTTTCTCATAAGTTATGGGTTCATCCCCTTCCAGGAAGTCGGATAAGTCCATGTCAAATGTTGGACCACGGTTGCTCAGTTCTGAACCATATGACACCTATTGTGGCGCAAATTGGTAAAGCTTCAAGAGAATGGTAATGATTGCAGTCAAAACAGCTAGAGTATTGCAATTGTTCAGATTTCTGATACTGAGAACTTGAAACAGCTAGTTTGCTACTCAGTTCGACATCGAAACAGACCAAAACAATCACTTCTGAAGAATCTGTACTACATTTCAAAAAGAGAGATGCAATTTCTTCGCGTGTCTGTAAGTGTGAGAGATTCTAGTACACCCCAAAATTGCACACACGACTCGGTCCCTTTAATTGAAGTTAAAATAGACGAGAACAGCCAACTGTTTCGAGAAACCAGCTTCAACACTAATCATATACTTCAAAGAAGTAACTACAGTGAGAAATTCATACAATTTGAAGCACAGGGGTGGGTCCTTGTCCTTTGTCCTGCTGCCGAGCCAGAGCATGCTTCCAAAGCCTCTGTTTGCTGGGGTGAATCTTTTGAACAGCAACATGACAGGCTTCTCTAATTGGCATCTGCAGCAACAACATTAAGTGAACAACAAAAACATTAGTCTTTAAACTTCACCGAACCTCCCTTAACAATTCAAGCCTTTTCAGCAAGCACACATGCCAAGTAAAAGCAAATAATGACCCTTCAATAAGTATGCATATGAAAAAAAATAACGAGATAACATTAAATAGACAACAGGTAGGCAAACAAAGAAAATTGGAATGTCTCAGTTGTGGAGTAACAAGGTCGAAGAAGTCAAGAAATTGAGCATTAATATGTACAATTAACATGTTTGTATAACCACAACAGCCACATGCATAGTGCATAGACAGCTGTGGACTATTCTGGCATGTGTTTATGCAAGGAAATTGTTAAATGCTATATAACACCGAAAAGGAGAAAGTAATGATACTGAAATAAAATGTCCTACTACTTCAAATGGAGCAACAAAGTGACTAACATTTAAAAGGTTGGTTTTAAATTATATTCAAAATGCAAAAAGGGTGTTCAGAGAGCAACTAAGTGGTCAATGAATTAGCAACCATATACAAATTCAAAGCTGAATTAGACAGCCATAGAGAAATCTTAGCTCAAGCTACATGCTTGGCCCATTTCCGAGACCATGCTTTAGATAGAGAAGCTAAGAACTAGAACCTATCCATCAGACAAGTTTGGATGTATTGAGACGACACTCGGTCTAACAAACAAGAATAGGCATCACACAAAGAATTAAAAGAAGTGAATAGGATACCTGTAAAACAAGACTTCCAGAATAGTCAGCAATTCCACCCATGACATCTAGCCTTCCAGGTGCTCTTGCAACAAAAATGTCTTCCTATATATAGAAAGTTTAGGCGAGTAAGCCAGGTATGACAGAAACCTTCAACAAGATTAGGAAAAGTCACCTTTAAAGATTAAAAAGAAACTAAGGGAAGTCACCTTTAAATATTAAGAAGAAACTAAGGGAACAGTGACTGAAGTATTTCCAGAAGGAAACACACTATATCACGGACATGCTTAGTGCACACAAGAAGATCCTCTCTTCCCCATAAAATAGATTTTAAGACAAATTTCGAGATTCCAGAGATGAAGCAACTTTTAGTGGACCAAGGATGCATCGAGATAAAAGGAATATGCTAATGACAGTAAAATGATTACATTAGCTTATTCATTCTCCAAAAAAAGGGGAATGAAACATGATACCTAAATTAAAATCATTTTCAACTTCCTGATGTAGCTAAAAAGGACTGTACTATCATTATCTTTCTGTTACATAGAGATTTTTCAATCAAAAAGAGACCATCTTATCTTTTAGTTAGAGATAAGAACTATTAGTACTATCTTTTTAGCTAAGGGGGAAAGTTATACTACTTCCATGAGTTCTGAGTTTGAATTCTCTATTTATTAAATTTCCCCCCTTGACTCTTAGTCTTCTCCCTTTTGTTGCTACATCAACCTTGGTATTAGAACCCAAGTTTTAAATCATGACGCTGTTTTATTCTTTAGTACCTCCCATTGACTGTTCTTGCCACTGGTTGCCCAATATTGTCTGCCTCTGCAGTTGGTAGTCTGAAAAGGTCCTTATTCAATGGGTGTGAATAGACCATTATATGATGCTACGTGGATCATCTCTCTCTCTCTCTCCCTCTATTCTGTTGTTTATCCCCTTTCTCATTTCTTCTCCTTTACTTCCCTCTTTGGTGTTAGTATTTCCATTTTGAGGTGAGTTTAGGTATACACACTGTTGAGTGTAAAAAATTATCTACAGGTAAGCCTCTTAGAATGTGGGATTTGAAATCCTGAAAGCAAGACAGCTTACCTGCTACAACAAGTACAGATCACTAGTTGGTGTAAAATTCATTATATTGACGGTATATAACTTAAACTCTTTAAGGTATTGATAGGTGCAGTAGATTTAATGGAAGTGAGGATGAGGAGCTGGGGTGACAAGTTGCAGGGTTAGTCAAACAACAACAAACTCAGTGTAATCCCACAAGTGGGGGGGGAGGGTGGTGTGTGAGCAGACCTTGCCCCTACCTTATGAAGGTAGAGAAGCTGGGGTGACAAATAAAATTACATAAGAGAGTTTGGCATGAAATGAAGAAGACCTCCCAATTGAAGAGACCAGCGGCAGCTTTCTGCTCCCTAATGGTGTGCTTTCCTGTTTTTGTTGGGGAATCAACCAATGCATCCAATCCTGCCAAGCTCTTCAAGAAACTAAAGGTATCTGACAGACCAAGAAAGTCTCCATGGAGAATCTCAAAGTCTTGAGAAAATCTAAGAGAAGAAAATCAAAAACATTAACCCCTATTAACACTCAGAAGTTATTCTGTTAAATGCTGAACTAATGGGATGAAAGAAGAATTACGAGTCTGCTAGAGAGTTGTTTTCAGCTGTTACAGCAGTAGGTGATCCTGTACGAAGACCAAGTTCACTTTCTGCATTTGCATACCAATCTGGAATACAGAGATCTCTTCCGGGAACTCTTTGCAACTGATATCCAAGAACTATGGCATCACGCAGTCTCCTTGGCCCACTCAGCTAAAAGTTATATAATAGCAAATCTTAGTATATAACTGGGTACAATTTACAAATTTATTAGTTTAGCTCATGGATAATTCTTAATCAAAATAGACAAGATGAGGAATAATTTTTTTAGTGAATACAACTCTACCTTGTCTAGCGTGTAATTTTTACCATAAGCTGTATCCTGTAAAATGCGAGCTGCAACTTCACCACCATTAATTCCTCCTTCATAGCATGGATTCAGAGTCATTGCACGTTCCAGGTAAGGTCTCCAATGTCCAGTAAGCAAATCCCTTCTGATCATCTCAACACCACCTTGATAGTACTAATTAAAATTATAGGCTTTAATTACAGTATGTTTACCAAACCTTGAGGTAATAAAGAAAAATAACCAAAGAAAGAAGCTTGTGCTAATATACTCTACCTCAAGCATATTTCTGAGAAACGGTTCTTCATTAAAATAGTCTCTACGGACAAATACAAATGGTAACTTGTACGCCAGGGCCTCACTGACGGTACCATATCCAATTTTTCCTGGAACAGAAGAATATTCAGAAGGCTTTATTGGAACAGCTTAATTTTCTACTGGGCATTTCAGTGATGCAACATGCAACTAACCTAGCATGCAGTCTGATGCTGCCATTAGATCCGGGGTATATGCATCTTTTGCAAGCTTTAAAAAATTTGGAGGTAGCTTCTCGCTCTCAGAGGCACCACAAACCTGAATACAGACAGGAAAGACGTCAAATTAAATCGTGTAAGGAAATAATACGTGTGCTTAAAATTTCAAGAGATCATATACCAGACACAACCAACCAGTTGGCAAGTATTCCTCCTTCAACTTCCAACCTGCAGGCTGCAAATGAAAATAGGAGCATTCTTCTAGTACTGATATGTTAATTATAGGATATTTCTATTAGTGAGAAGAAGATGTGTAAGACAATATCGAATGACAAAATTGATATACCCTCTGTCCTAGATGTTTTTTCTTTCGCTCACACTTTTGAGATGCCGAAAATAAGATCTTGTTTACTCCAAAACTACCCATTTTATCGTTAATGGTAATGAACTGAAAAAGAATGGACAAGACAAACTTTCCCAATTTATACAACACTCTTCCTGTTTTGGGATATATCGCAAGTTATTTCATACCATTGCTTTAATTATATCATTTTTATACAACTTCCACAACAACTCAAGTACAATTAACTAACCAGATTAATAATTAATGTTATTAACTTTTTAACTATTGTTGTAACATTTTCTTCCACTACTGCTTCTAATACTCTAGTCAAACTAATGTCTGAAACTAGTCAAACATCAAATGGGAAAGAGGAAGAATGTTTCATTCACAAGTTATTATTAAGTTTTCCGTCAACCTGAAAATGTTTTAGGATCATCCTGTTATTGACAACTCTACTTGTTGTATGTGCTTTTTTTTTTGTGGAACGGGTATAATGGAAATATTGATAAACTACTCTTTGTTTACCTCCTATCAATCAAACTATATTACTAAATTTTGAAATTAGCAAATCAATATCGATTACTATAAAGCACCAAGACCACGGGCTGAACCAATCATGGTTGAACCACTCTTCAATATTAAAATTTAAATTAAATATGAGAGTCCAACTGATTAAGGAAAAACAAACAAGAACATGATGATAAGATAACTTGGAAAATTGTCAAGGAGAAAAGGGAAACAAAGCTAGCAACTAAATTCAGTCTGCAGCCAAAGTTTCTAGACAAATTTTTAATGCTTTTGACATATTTACTAGATGACCTAGTCAAAGAGATCCGTAGACTCACCTGTCCACCAAAATTCAGGATAACAACCTTCACATCCTCCCCAATTCCAAGTTCTTTCCGCACCTACAATAGTGACAATAAACCAATGTCTTTAGATACATATTCTTCCAATTATTCTAGCTCTTCCAAATAAAGACTGAACATTATGTTATCTGACCTCTTTACGAGACTTGTGCAATCTCCTTACAACCAATGGCACATCAATTATATCACGAAAAGCAGGCACTGCAGTAATTAAGCAATTGACCTATTGTTGATGAAGAACAAGAAAAAACGTATATAACAACTTTTTGGTACGCAGCACACCAACATACTTGGACAGTATCCTGGCAGTCGAATAAGAAATTCACAATGAGAATAGTCCTCTGCAATCTGCATTATACATAAAGCCACCAAAAAGAACAGAGATCACAATTTTGGAAAACTATAATTAAACTGAAACAAACTGTAGGTAAAACTTGGACAAGGTTCACATCTCACAATTAATCAGCAAGCATGACAAAGTTAACGGTGGGAAAGTTATCATAATGCATTGTCAAGCTAAAAATTGAACATTAGCAGGATATGGTTAAGTTCTCAGATCTCACCTGCCACACTATTGATCTATGATGATTTCCAGCTGCCATTACATACTCTGCATAGATGAAGTCCCAGCTACAGGGAAAAATAATGGCAGGTATATAAGGGAAATTTGTGTAACCTTGATCTACTGACGAATATAATGACAACCAACAAAAGGACATAGTCCATTCATCGCCAGGAATCATCACAAATAATAGCATCATGTTGTGCAACAGTGTACAAAGATTAATCCAAAATATATAAAATAGTTTTTAGGACTTAAAAAGGATCAGAAGTATAATCTGTGTGTCCCGTTCTAAACCTCAAATCAAAGAAGCATGTGGCGTATTTCACTTGAGCTTTATTTACCTAAACATTTTTGTATCATTATACACACTCTCATTTCACCCAAAAAATAGAGGACAAAGAAGATATGAAGTAAAAAGGGAGTTAGACGTGAAAACCTGAAGTTGGTGATACAAACAGATGGAATTCCAGCATCAGCTGCCGCCCTGCAAGCAACTGGAACAACATCTGATACCTGTTTCCAGAATACATAGACATAAACATCATATAGTTCCTCCAATCCCTTGGAGAGGCATAACGAGAAAAGCCAAAAATCACATTTTTGGAAATCAGAGAAAAAAATTCCCTTTCTTAATTGCTGGTTTAACTATGAACAAACAGATTTATATTGGTAATACGGAGAGCAGTGGACAAAATTACACTGCTAAGACACGGTCATATATTTCCTAAGCCAAGCTTCTGAAAGAAAGAAATGATAACTTCCGACATACTTATTCCACAAAGAGCGATTACGTCACAAAAGTAGTGCTAAGACAAAGTCATTATGACCTAAGCTAAGCTTCCGAAAGAAAACAATACCTTTCAAAATTCTTATTCTATTCAGTTTTACTCTCCCATATCTATTTAACACCAGTGACTAATTAAACTTATTGAGTTAAAAGAAGGCCAGCAAAGTACTTTTAATTTGTCATTGCTGAAAAAAGAGAAGCAATTCTTTTACCACAAAATCTGCCTTGATGGATTTTAGCCACTCCACTTCTGTTGCCAAAATAGATGCACGTGGTACAACAGCAGTCTCAGAATACTGAAGCAACAAAGTTGCACATATAACGATTAAACCAGTCAAGCATAATATCCCATCTAGCAATAGAACAAAGAAAAACTACAATGGAATTATAATCTTCACAAAAAGGGCCTAAGGTAGTGGGAATACCTTCTCTAGTGAGGCAAGACGATCCACTGTCAACGCATCAGCTTGAACTGCTCCACAATCTAACAATACCTGCAAGGTGTTACATAATGTTAAAAAATAGTAAAAAGAGCCCATTAATGAAACAAATTAGGAATTCTTCAGCGAGGGAGCATGAAAATCAACAGACCTTGCGAAGAAAAAGTCGAGGAGATTGTATCTCGGATGTAAAGACAAAGGCAGGTGCACCAGTGACGACATGAACATCATGCCCAGCTAGGATGAGATTTCTAGCGACCTATGCAGCAGAAAAATCACATTCATTGGGGCAGAAATAATTTCCATAATGCAAGACAATAAATCAAGATTTAAACCACAAGCTGACAAGCAGGACAATTGTATGATCTTCTGATGCACCAACAGTTTGCAGAACGACACTATGCAATGATCAGACTTGAAGGACCATGATGTATATAGAACATCACAACCATAAGGACAGCAGTCTACTACATCAATTTACAATTATAAGTTAGGATAAGTAGGTTTCTGCACTTTAACAGTGCCCTTAATTGTATAAAAATTGCTTCTCTTAATTAAACAATTCCACCATTACTCATTTCCCATATTCTGATAACTTCTCTAACAAGCCCATTGAAGTTTAAATACCCTGAAATATACATATTTTTTAAGGTTTTTTGCTAACACTTCCAAGAAACAGTCAAATGAGAGTCACCAATCAAGACCAGTTATTTTCTTCCACCTCCACTTTTCTGGTTCACCTTCCTATCTCATCAACTGAGTCATAATCGAAGTAATGAAATCATGTGCAAAATGATTCTATCTTGGGGTCCCAATATCATAAAGAACTCCAATTATGCCCCTTGATCACAAAAAAAAATGGAACTTTAACCAAAATTCATTATCAGAGAAAGCAACAAGATCAAGAACAACCCAATTCACCAATTAAAAAACCATTTCAGAAAAAAACAAAGAAAAGGGTATTATCAAGATCACATTTTTACACTAAAAAGATAGATAATAAGAAAAAAAAGAAAGACAAAGGTACCTCAACAACTCGAGTGGCATGTCCAAAGCCATGCCCAGTTACATAATAAGCAAATACAAGAGGGCGTTTCTTAGACTCCTCAACACTTGCAGTTCCCATTTCTTGATTTCTCTGCAAAAAAATTGTTATCTTTTACTCTTTCAAATTCTTAAACCCAAGAAAGAAATAAAGAAAGAAAGATTTACTTGTTGGGGTATGTGTAATTGGTGAAAATTGACATCAGCTGACGATCTCAGCCTTATCGTGTCTGTTATTATGACTCATCAAATCTGTTAAATGAATTGCAAATTTTATGGGATTTGTTTGTATATTCCTTCCGTCTCATATTAGTTAACACTATAATTAGAAGTTCAAGAAAAAATATTAATTAAATTTTTGTAGTTAATAATAAAATTATTTTTTTATTTATAATTTCTTAAATATAGCGTAAAATGGAGAAGTGATCAATAATATGATAAAAAGGGAAAAGTTCAGCACATTTAATTTGGGAGAGAATCATATAATGATACCGCTCGGATTCCATTATTTTATTTTTAAATAAAAATTTGCTTAACTAAAAATATTTTTTTAATATAATCATGTTGTCTAGTGAACAAACATACAATATTGACATTTGATTTTTGAAAAGTCTCATAATAATATTTTAGGCTTTGCAATCAAGTTAATAGCTTACGACTAGTTTAAATAGATATCTTGTTATAGTGTGTGAGTAATATTTAGTGGAAACATATTGGTATTTAATAGGACACTTGGCAGCCATGTCACGTTACTTCAGTAATTAAAAAAATGATTAATTAAACACTCTTCGTAAAAAAAAATTATGTTACGCGGATAGGTCAAAAACTACTCTATAAATAATGGCTTATGACTTCTTCATATGCACATCAGTTTCAAAAAAATAAAAATATATCTCTTTCTACTAAGCTTTTTTTTTTTTTTTTTTTACTATATCTCCTTTTATCTTGTACTTTTATTTTTTCGTAACATAAATCCCATAGTAATGGAGCATTTTTAACCCTTACCTTTTAAATTATGGAGGATTACTTAACTTGTATGGTTGGTTATTATTATATTAAATTATGTTGTTAGAAAAATATAATATTTATTTTGATTATGATTTAAATTTTATTGTATATACAATTAAATTATAGCGTTATATACTGATAAAAAATCTTATTTTATATAACATTAATTTAGTGTTGTATCGTTCTCTTATTTTATTTTTTATTTTCTATTTGTTTATTATTTATAATCTTATTTTAACTTTTATTTTATCTTTTTACGATAGTTCTAGCTCGTACTCTACTTTTTTATAGGTTTATTTTTCAAATTTACTGATGTGTAACATTATATAATGATTACAATCATCAAATAATACAATACAATATAATATAATATGGTACGTATTGTGATTTTTGTTCACATTTCCGAATTGAAAAGACGTGCCAAAGTGATTTAGGTTCATTTTGTTTATTTTGCTTGATTTGGTTATATATATTTATAGCAATTAAATCGTTCTATTAATCAACCATAAGTAGTTGGACGTTAGGAAATAGTATTAAATTTTGATTCCATTTCCTTTATTGATTAACCTATTAATACTAGTTACCTGTTTGAAACTTCATGGTAATTAAAAAAGAATAAGACTTTCCTAGTCCCCTAAAAGGGGAAAAAAACTTAATTTTATAATTTTTATTATAAATAATACTCTCTTCGTCAATTTTAACTTGTCCTGGTTTTCTTTTTTAGAGTCAAACGATAAGAACTTAGATTAACATTTTATGATGTATTTTTTCATCATATTGATATGCAAAAAAATGCAATTTATAGTACTTTTCGTATAGTTTTAGAATGTCTAATTTTTTTGTTTAAGATATCGAATTAATGTAATATAATTTAACTTTGAAAACTAGTCAAATTGACTTTCGAAAAACGCAACATGACAACTAAAAATGGATGAAAGAAGTAAGTGCGATAGAAAAGTAAAGAACTTGTGCGCACCCAAAATGTAGCAGCTGCGTATTTCCTGGTAGAACTTAATTATTTTGAATTGTATCCTTTTTTTACTTTATTATTTTGACAATTTATAATAGTAAGGACAGAAAGACTATAAACTAAAAACTTGAGGGACCATTTGAGTTAATAACTCTAATAAGTGGCAATATTGTAGTATTTTCAAAATTGAGGGTTAACATTTTGTTTATTTTTCCCATTTCAAAAGGTGTTTTTGGTTTGGAATGGATTTCTTTAGGAATGTGTGGTTATGGTTGTTTTTTTAGGCGGGATTTTTTGACAGTGAAAGTGAAAAAAAAGCTTTAGCTCAGCTAGCTACAATGGCGGTTTCTATGTTCATAGCTGTTAACAGCACTGTGAAGTTGAACTTTCCAATTGTAAAGAAGGTGGATAAGGTGCCTATTGAATCCTTCCGTGGTTTCTACAAGCCTGTGCGTTGTTTTCCGGTAGAACAGCAGGTATTCAGAATTCTGTATATGTAATGTAATTTGTGATTGATATTCATATCTGGTGTAAGTATGTGTAATTTTTCTTGCTCAATTACGGAGCATTGGAGCAACAGTAGAATTGTCTTCACGTGACTGGGTTCGAGCTGTGGAAGCAGCCACTAGTGTTTGTATTGGTAATGTGGGATGCTTTGGGTAGCGGGCTGATTTAATGATGATATTTGGAATTTAATTAATGTTATTGATATTACCTCTAAAAATCAGTATTTGAAGATTTGCATCATAGCAAAAAGAGACATGTCAAACACAATACACACATGACTTAAGAACACACATATTTAACACCAGGGAGATGAACTGCTGTAATTGTTGATTCATAAAGAATTCGGTCCTTCTCGATATGGGATTTCCGTAGACAATTTACTCCATCCTACTCTGATGTGCCTGCAGCTATCACTTGCAATGTAATGCCACAGACATCTTTCTCTTTTACTTCGTTCGTGTAACTGCTACATCTCTAACCAAACCTGTACTTATTTTTTAGTTTACTTTGTGATAGAGTTATTATCCACCTCTGAATGATTGTGCCTCCTACATGTTGAGGTCTCTGGTATCATGAACAAGCATCCACATTATCATGTTTTGCTGTTACAAAATCTACTCTATTGGTGGAGATAGATCTGATCATATTTCCTCTCCCCCACCCTTGTCTTCTTCCTTCACTCACTTTTCCAATCCTGCACTTTTGTTATCAGCTTCTCTATCTGTCCTGATTCAACAGAGAATGCTCATTCATAAACAGTTTAGGATCAGCCTGGTTAGGTTCGTCCCACTGCCAAGATTTTCGCGAGTAGTTTAGGGCTTTATGTCCATTGATCTTCAAGCAATGGTCTTGGGAATGAGACATAGAGAGGTCTCTCGTGGACGACTCCACCTGCTCTTGATAAGTGGTTTCTAACAATTTTGACACGAATGTATTAAAGTAGGGACACCATTTAATCCTAAATGTGATTTTATTGCTAGTAAATACATGAAGAATCTTTTTTACACTCCAGTTATGTTATGCTTACTAAATAATTGCAGTTCTCTACAAAATTGTAGAAAGTACTTTATCTAATTCAATGGACTTTTCATGTACTGCTTGAAGATTACATCACAAAGTTGCATTCTTTCATTCTCATTAGCAGTAGCTGACTCAGCTCTAGCTCCCCTTGTGCATTGCTTGCCTCGCCTTGTGTACAAAGTAATTGGTGAATGTGTAATTCCCATCTGTCATATCTTACTGGATCATGTTTTCACTTTACCCTAGATATTCTTTAAGTTGAATATTTCTCAGCTATTCCTGAATCCTGAGGCTACTATCTATTTCTAAGTTGTACCGCGGAGATACTGAGACAGAAGAAACTGAGGGAAACTTCTGCATTCCGCATTGAATTTTGATTCAGATTACCTTTTACTGCACAATTAGTTTACCCTGATGTTCTAACTTTGGTGTGGGTATGACATGAATACTTCATAAGGTTCCTCTAAATTTCTAGGGCACATATGCCTCGGTCTAGTTAGGAAGTAGGCTTCTATTGGACCATATCTTTTATGAAGTAAAATAATTTGTTGATACTTCAGGAAAATCCTGATATACAAGTGTTGTAAAGAAATAGAACATCTATACAAAATATTACTCTCTGAAAATGAACAGACAGTCAGCTATATTGTTAGAAAGCTTATGGTTGCACCAAAAGTTAGATAAGAACAACGACAAGCCCCCCCACCTACAAAATCATCTCCTACTCTATACAAAAACTTTCATGTTTTTTTCCTTCTAAAGTACCCACATAGGAACCACATTTTATGCTCTACGTCTTCTTTTCCTTCTTCTTAAGTCCAGCTAAACACCATATCCCAACCTATAGCTAGCATTGTTCAGTGTTCCCCAAACAGATACAACACTGTCCACCACAATCGTGTTGCAGCCTGGCAATGCATATATGCTATCTTCCTTTTCTTCAAATCTTCAACTGTAAGGATGGTCCCTTTGCTGTGAACTAGGTGAAAAGAACATGCATTTCTTGGAGGTTGGGAACCCATACTGATAGATGATAGAAATCTCTGGTCTCTCTTCTTAATAACCTGTGATAGGAGGACGTCACCAAAATACTCCACGCAGCTCCTTTCATTCCTTAATCTTGATACAATTATGCGATGTGTTTTTATTTGGACCATGCTAACATGAGTGTTGCTGGTGTCTCGACTAACATGATGAGATCAACTGGTTCATTATAGTCTAAAATTTCTGAAATGTCATTACTCTCCTGATCAGTTTGTCTTCTCGTGTATTTCCTTTCCGTTTTACAATGACCCTTGGTAGATAGTTTAGATCTGCATTGGTTAGATACTTCATTTTCTAATAATATCATCTGCTCTCCATTTTAAGATACTGAATCTTTACCTCTTGCCATCTGCGTTTCTTGCTTACTGAGATGGTGTGCTGCTTTCAAACTCTTTATCCGTCTGTTTTCAATTGAAAGGTTGAGGCAGGAATCTTATGTGAGCCTTGTGGTGGCACTGGATGGCTGCTCTGTGATTTTTGTAAAGGTCAGAAGACCAATGTGAAATCTGAGACTAACAAAATTTATCGTCGGTGTCCATCATGTAGAGCTGTAAGTGTTTTCTTTTTACTGTATTCCTATATTAATTTCTAGGAATTGTAATCATCGCACATTCCATTATTTTTCGATGGAATATAATTCCAATAAGTTTTTTCTTGATGTTACTGCGCAGACGGGATACTTATTGTGCTCAAAATGCAAAGTTTTCAAATGTGTTACCTTCCCAAATGATGAAGATGGTGAAGTTCTCAGTTTTTGAATTTGTAATATTCATCTTGACTAATTATCATACATTTAATTTTACTGACTTGCAAGTTCATGTGTGAATATGTAATTTTTCCTGACATTTTGTAATCAATGACCAGAAAAGAAAGTGAAATAAAACAGTTCAGAATTGCAATTCTTTGAAATTTCAGGCATTATTAGTTTTACAGATCATTGCATAATTATTTTTGATGAAAAAGGAATTTAAATTGGCTAATACTCTCCTATCAGTATCATATATCATTATGTATCTAAAAAGTACAAACATGGGTTGTGGCGAGATGGTTGAGATCCTTCCACCTTTAATTAGAGATCTTGAATTCAAGCCTTGAGAATGAAAAAAATCTTGTTAGGCCTAACAATGTGCGAATCCTCTTGTTCCTCTCATACATTCTCGTGAGACCCTGAGAATCATGTTAGATGGAGCTCTAAATTTTTTACTTTTTTCTTGCAAATATGTTATAGAGAAAGAAAAAAAAAAAGAAACGGGATAATACACTTAGTTTATGGAAAAAAGAAAAAGGCAAAGAAAGAAAGATAAAAAAAAATGGAGTACAGGGATGATGTAAATATTGAGTTGTTGGGATCTCTAATATGCATGTGGTATAATTTTTGGTTGGTTATGCCATTGGTACTTTAAGCTTTAATTGCCAAAAACTTACTCGCACCTGATAATTTACCATGATTAAGTAATTTGATAAGCGAAAGGCCTTATGTATAAACACATGTCATGCATTTATTGGTTTGATGTATACAGTTAAGTAAATAAGTGAAAAGACCTTATGTACAAACACATGTCATGTATTTATTGGTTTGATGTAAACAATTGGAGTGAATATGAGTTTGCCATTTTCTACATGTATTTTCAAACTATTTGCTCCCTTGTGACAATACATATAGTTTCCTCCAAAAATTAAGCTAGTAATTTTGAATCTTTTATCCTCTCATTTTCCTTCTTTTCTACATCTCCAATTTTAGGTTACAGGGCTTGAAAAAAGAAAGGGAGAAAATGGACCGAGTTCGTTTTGCTCCTTTGTGTTATGAACTGAAAATAATGCAAGATAACTAACATTTTTGCTGTGACTTAAACATCACCATATGAGAAGCTTGAATAATGAATACAACTTAAAATAATGGGCGAAAAATGTTATCGAGTTTTTTCAACTTCTTTTCTTGTCAGCTACTCAAGATATTGATCCCTTTATACACATGTATACTACAATGGTGTGAGTGTGTTGTGTAGTGATGTGTCTAACACACTCACCACATTGATGTTCTTGAACAGAAACCTCAACTGCTGTTTTCGACAAAAAGATCCAAGGAACTAACTAGGTAAATCATTACCAGCAAGAATGTACACTAAACATCAGCACTAATTTTCATATTTTGTTTCTGGTTCTTTAGGTTTGTAAACTTCTTCCAAACACTCTTTAGCTCTATGTACCTTTGATTGAAGGTAAAAACTCCCCTTTTTAGCATTTCGCTCAAACAAGCTGTCATACTTCTGCAAGAAAAATGAGAAGCGACGTATTAATGTCATATTAAAGACAAAAGCAGTGTCAAACGATAACAGCAAACATTTAAACGAACCTGCACAATTTCTTCCCATGATGAATCCTCTGTGACGCCAAGAATCTGTCTTGCCTCTGCTTCCGTCATGGTTTTGCTAGATCTTTTTATATTCTGCACTGCTTCTTGAGCAACACCATTCTTCGAGGCATCTGCCATCAGGATGGAGTAAGTACACAGTGTGCAAGATGTGCAAGCGGCAAGAAATAACAAACCAAACACCCCAACAGCCCCAAAATGCTTATGATGCAGAACAGAACAACTCAGATTAATTGAGTACAAAGTTATTTTCAAAAAAGAAGGAACATGAATTCAGAAGATACTTACTGGACAATGCCTGACTATATGCTTGAACAAAAGCCCTTGCCAATATAGAAGAGCCCATTACAATTAAATTAGCAAGAATTTTTGCAGCCTGCCTCAAGAACAACATGATTGTATAGTTGCCGAAATAAGATACCATTTCAAGTAAGCACATGGCTCATGAACTTGAAGAAATAGGAAACAATATCAACAAACATTGACATAATGTGAGCTATGGCCTGAAAGGTCCACTTTTTCTATGATAAGAACCGTGTTGGTGAAAGAGTTTCAAACTTTATGATTTTACTTTGTTTACGGGGGGGATTACTCTGCCTGGGTGAGCTCGGGTAAAAGAGGAAGGATGCAATAAGATGGAAGCCAATGTAAAACTAGCCAATTTATATGAATCCTCAACAATACTTTGTCTAGGGGACAAAGGGGAGGTCACATGATTAGTCATTAAACTATTTTTACTTAGCCATCAAATATGGTTGTCAATGCAACCTAGCTAAGTAACAGAAGCATAATTGACAATGGCAGAAGGAACAAAAGCATACTGGAGACGAATACTTTGAAATTTTATAGAGCCTAAAGGTAAAAACTTGATCTCTAACTAAATAATTCATTTTTCATTGACCTCAATCACATTGGCCACATTAGAACTAAAAAGTGACTATCCTTAAAAGATTGACTGATACGACGCAAAACCAAGGACTAAATTAGACATAACTGTAAATTATTGCCTACTTAATTATTTTATCAAAGAAATGCAACAAAATGCAGCATCTTACGGCACTGAGTGGAAGTCATTCAACATGCAAGTATTAGGAGATTTCCCACTTATTCAGAACTTTGTGGAAATACAAAATCAGACAAGATTAGAAATGTTCATGTTCAGCAGAAGGGACAAGTAACACACATAAAGGATAAAATGAGAGAAGGTCGTTTGAGAAAGTTTAATCATGTCCTATGTTGACCTCTGATGCACTAATCTATAAATGTGAAGCTATAATCAGTGAAGGTGTTAAGAGAAAGAGGTAAACCTAAAGTCAAACGGAAAGAAGTTGTTTTGAAAGACCTACAATCTCTTGGAATTTATTCATATTTAGCAAAAAGAAATAGAAGTTGAAATTACAGTACAGTCAGGTTGGGAAGTTTCCATTAGGTCTAATGGTTGCTTAGAGCTTGTTAAAGATTTGCATGTTAATAGAAAATGTGGAAATCTAGTGATAGAGAACTTCCAAATTGAGCAAAACAGATAGTTAAGGATTCAGATCCAACAAGCCTGGGATTAAGGCTTTATTGTGTTTTTGTAAGCTAATCTCCACCCATGATATTTTTTTTCTCATTTTGCTACTCGAATCCTAACCTTATAGTTGAAGATCAATGTTATACCTTCCTTATTGCTCCATTTGCTAATTTCTCAGGCTATTAATGGGATATTCTCTTTACCGTTCTTTTATAATGTAAATGATTTGATTAATGCTCTATATAAGTAGAGTATACCAAAAGAGTAGAGAAACTCACACATCAAGCATTGCATTGCGTTCTTAATTACCACTACCAAAAGCTTGAGTTGAATATCATCCAGATTTGTATCTTTTGGAAGGACAGTTATAGGAAACTTATCACAGAATAAAGAGAGTCATTTCATTAAAGCACAAATTTCAGGTGGTACCTAACATTTTGAGTCCCAAAACATACATCGATGCTGAAATTCTGAGGTGGCCCTAACCAGGAAATCGAAAATGTGTAACCTACGAAACGACCAAACAGCAGAGCAGATCAATCAGATTCAACAATCAAAATCTACTTGAATACATATATGACTAGTCCGTCCCCAGTAAGATTAATAGTGAAAACAGAAGAAGCTAGAATCCGAACATGTTTCCCTTAATGCCAGTCAAGGGTTAAACATGCACGAACGAGTTTGGAGAAAGCAACAACACAAATATCTTACTGACAACACAAACAATTTTTTCTTCATGAGTCTTCCATGCTATGCATTTTCTACCACTCACTTACCCCCTCCCCCTAGTCCCTTCTACTCCAAATTCTTCTACATCTTTGATAAAACTAATCACTGTTATTATGTAATTGGGTTAAGGTAAAAGCTTGTCGGACAAATATTTTTTATTATGGCCCTCTAACTAGCTATGAGAAAAACAATTTTATTGCCATGTTTACTTTTTTTTTTTTCACTTAAATTATTTGAGGATGAATAATTGTATCTTAGTAAATTGATCACTTACAAAATGCCAATTTTTAATTTATAAAAGATAAACTATAAAAGACGGTAAACAATAATAAAATTGAATAAATCATCTACATTTACACATAAAAATTGCAAGTTATAGTTTTAATATGTATGCAATTTTATAAATTGTTCAAAACACAAATAATTAGAAGTTTAGAACAAACAATTAGTTAATGTTAAACAACTCACATTTCAACTATTGTATTAATTTGTATTGGATTTATTTAGCTAGCGTTTGACCATAGAGTTTGAAATATTCTTGGCAAATATTATTTGGGTGAAAATTCACCATGTATTTGGTCAAAGTATTTGGGAAACATATTTCATTTTTTTAGAAAAATATGATTTATATTCATAAGTTTTAAAAACTATCAAAACTAACCATAAATTTGTATTACAAGTCAACTGGATCTTCGTTACAACAAATAACAAGTAGTGTCCATGACACTAGCGAGCAATGTGGTAGTTTGGAGTGAGTGCAACAAGCATCATTCCATACATCTTGAAGTAGACAAAACACATGACTTTGTTATCCTAAATCGATTGTTCATCATTTTCATCAACAACCATATCATCACTTTCATATTCACTGAATATTTCACCATTACGTTGGTGTTCATGCAAAAAATTATGTACTACAACACAAACAACTACTATAGAGGGTGTTTTTGTAAAAAAATAATAATTTGGTGTAAAATTTCAATTTTTAAAAGATTTCAAATAATAAGATTTGGCCTAAATACTAGGAAAAACTAGTATTTGGAAAGTTGGGATATTTGCCAAATTATAAACTCTAAGGGGTCGTTTGGTGTGATGGATAGGGAGAGTTAATCCCGGGATAACTTTTAAGTACCCTTCTATTTCCTTGTTTGGTTGGAAAGCTTGGGATAACTTATCCCAGGATTAAGAATTAGTACTGGGATAAGTTATCCCTCCCATTTGGTGGTATAGTAATCCCGGGATAATTTATCCCGAGATAGAATAGGAAAATGACAACTATATCCCTTTAAACCCTTTGTATATATCATTTTTCACATTTATGTATATTTACATTATTTTTAATATCATGTATACTAATATTCATTACTTCTTATTTTTAGGATAATTATTTATATTTTTCTATTAAAAAATTACACTATATAAATATAATTTTTATTTATGAATTTATTTGACTAATTCTTATGTTTATTTATATTTTTATTTCCCATAAATCTTCTTTCACTTTAATAAAACTTAAAGAGGGAAGTTCTATTTTTAAGCTAAATAAGAAAAAAAGTTATATTTTTAAATACATTCTCTTATTATATAAGAGGGAGTTTATGATGGGACATTGTGATGTCCAATCATAAACTCCCTATATAATATATAATATATAATATAATAAATCATTTTTTCTACTATATAATATATATTTATTTTCCTACTATAAGGGAGTTTATATAATATATAATAATATAATATAATAAATCATTTACAAATGACTTAAAATATTTCATATTTAAAGGATATATAATAAAATAGGTTCATTCTCAAAATTCTATCCGGGTCACATATATTGGGACAGAAAAAATAACATATATCATTTTAAAATTACCAAAAAAGTATTATAAATAATAATAATTAACAACTTACAATATCTTAAAGACATTTTAAAAGGGTTAATTTTGTAATTGTAATTTCTACTATATAATAAAAGGGAGTTTATATAATATATATTCTACTATTATATAATATCATAATAAAACCCCTTTTATTATATAGTAGAAATAAATATAATATATATATATATATATATATATATATATATATATATATAATATAATATATAATAATATAATATAATAAATCATTTACAAATGACTTAAAATATTTAATATTTAAAAGATATATAATAAAATAGGTTGACTCTCAAAATTCTATCCGGGTCACATATATTGGGACAAAAAAAATAACATATATCATTTCAAAATTACCAAAAAAGTATTATAAATAATAATAATTAACAACTTAAAATATCTGAAAGACATTTTAAAAGAGTTAATTTTGTAAGTTTATCCATATCACATAAATTAGGACAAAGTGACCAGCAATGTAAGTTATTTGAAAGTTACATAAAAATATTATAAATAACAATAATTAATAACTTAGAACATTTTTTTTTTAAAATGCAAATTTGGATGACTCTTCAAATTTCATTTGTGTCACATAAATTGAGACAACAAAAATAACATATATTGCGCCCATTTTAATTTATTTGTCTTAATTTTTTTTATATTTAAAAATTGTGTAAAAATACTATAAATTATGATAATTGACAACATAAAATATTTCAAAAATAAATACATATAAAAAAATTCGATTAATTCTTGAAATTAATCTATCGTTAAAAATTATGTATAAAATACAACAAATCGTGATTTTGACCACTTAAAATATTTATTAAAAAAACAGAAAAAATAAATTGACTGATTCTTAAAATTAATCTATCAATGTCACATAAAATGAGACAAAAGTAGTAATATGTATTGTTTAATGTGAAATTATTGAAAACTACGTAAAATGTATTATAAATGTTAACAATTAACAACATTTGATTGAATCTTGAAATTTTATCAATGCTACATACATTGAGACAAGTGGAGTAATATATTTTAAGTATTTAAAATTACGTACAACCATATTGCTTTCTGTAGGCTTCGAATTATCGTGGTCATTTTTTAGGCTGATACAAGTTTTGTACTTTTTTTTTAATATTATAAATCGCAATAATTAATAATTTAAAATATTTTAAAAAATATATTAAAAATTTAGTTGGTTTCGGGAATTTTATTTATACTATATAAAATGGGACAAAGGAAGCAACATATATCATTTACAAATGACTTAAAAAGCATTAAAAATTAGAATAATTACCAATTTAAAATATTTAAAAGCTATATAATAAAATAGGTTCACTCTCAGAATTCTTTCAGGCTCACATATATTAGGACAGAAAAAATAACACATATCATTTTAAAATTACAAAAAAAGTATTATAAATAATAATAATTAACAACTTAAAATATCTGAAAGACATTTTAAAAGGGTTAATTTTGTATTTTTATCCATATCACATAAATTAAGACAAAGTGACCAGTAATGTTGGTTATTTGAAAGTTACATCAAAATATTATAAATCACAATAATTAATAACTTAAAACATTTTTTTAAAAAAAATTAAAATTTGGATGACTCTCCAAATTTTATTTGTGTGACATAAATTGAGACAACAAAAATAACATATATTGGGTCCATTTTAATTTATTTGTCTTATTTTTTTTGGGATTTTTATATTTTAAAAATGCGTAAAAATATTATAAATCATGATAATTGACAACATAAAATATGTTTTGAAAAAAAAATAGAAAAAATTCCACTCATTCTTTAAGTGAATCTATCGTAAAAATACTATAAATCATGATAATTGACAACATAAAATATTTCAAAAATGTTGTATGTGGATAGTCTTATTGTGCCTTGAATAGCGTCAAATAAAGTACACGTTTGTGATAAAAAAACTTATTCCTTTATCCACGCAAACAATCGCTTCAAAATCTCCGTTATTAGCCCCAAAACATACCATTTATATTATTGGGCCCGTGTCCGTGCATAGCACGGGCAACATTACCTAGTATGGTACTAACCATGAGAATGCATAAACAAAAATATTTAAGCTAAATAAAATAAATGTTTTATTTTTAAAAATAAATAATTAAAGTTTGCAAAGAAAATATTAACTAAATAAAACGAAGGGTAATTTTGTAAACAAACAACTTGTTCCTAAAATTTATGCAATATATATTGTTTTAATACAACAAATCAAACACTCAATAAGAAATAATCTTAACACAAATTTATAGCTGCTTGCTCTAGTTTTGGCAGGTGTTTTAGTGCAATTTTGGTCAATTTTTTGGAGTTTTTGCAGTTATTTTTTTTTTCAAGTCTTAATAGACGTTTTAATGCGGTTTTTGTTACTGATTTGGTGGATTTTTTGCTGCTGTTTGAATTCAGATTTGGTTCAATTTTTGTGGTTATTTTTATGCAAATTTTGTCCAGTTTTAGCTGTTTTAGTGCAGTTTTTGCAGCTGGTTTGGTGTATTTTGGTCACTTTATTGCTGTTTTCTTGAAGCATTTTTGGAGTTTTGATCCAATATTTTTGGTTATTTTGATACAGTTTCTACTTCAAATTATGATTGATTTGTTTTTAATTAATATTTTACTTATGATAGTGAAGAGGAGAGGCTTCCCACGGGCTTATTTCAATTCATATGAGATACAAATTTAAACATACTCACGTAATTTATTTTTAAAAGTGAATAAATAAAGCTCTATAAAAAATACATATAAAAAGTCTAAATAAGACAAAGGATATTTTTGTAAATAAATAATTTATTCTTAAAAAGTATGTAATGCATATTAGTTTTAATACAACAAACCAAACAGTCAATAAAAAACAATCTAAGCATAACTAATCCCATCATAACTTGTATTCAAATCAAACCAACCCTAAACCCTTGACAACAATGTCGATTACTTTCTCATTTCTCTCATCTTCAATTCCCACTCTCAAGAAAACCCATAAGATTTTTCCCTATAGTACTTTCTCTCATAATCAAATTTTTCATTTTCCCTCACCTGTTGTCAGAATTAAACTCGAATTGGAACACAAATGTTCCGAGATTTTCACAAGTAATTGTGGATTTCAATCACGTAGGAAAAATGGGTTTATTGCGAAAGCTGAGAGTAGTGGAATAGATAATGGGAATAGTGTCGACAAAGCTGGAAATGAGGTTCGTGGAGAGAGCACAATGCCTGATATATTCAGATACTTGACTAAAGAAGCTCCTGATAAGCCTGTTAGATGGCCTTGGTTCATAGGTATATCAAAAAAGCTCTATCATATGTTCTTTTTGTGGGCACTGATTTAGTTATAAGCTAATTTGTCAATTTTCTATTTGTGGGCACTGATTTAGCTGAATGTGCATTCTAGGTTATGTAGTTGAGTATAGCTGCTGTTGAGTTGTTGGGTGATAATTTTTTTTTTTGATACAAGTAGAAAGAAAGCCCAAGATGTTCCCATGTATCTGCTGTTAGAATATCATGTAGTTGTTGATCGTTTGATTTCCTTACGATTTTCATTTAAGTAGTAACTCACATTCGTGTTCTGCACTTTTCATGTGTAGCTCTCTATTTATGTTCCAGCTATAAACATAGAGTACTTCATTAACTCTGTAGTTGTTGTCAATATGCAGCTTTGGCCTTTATTCTATATGCCTGGAGGACTATCTTGTGGGAACTGGATAATTGGAAAAAGGCTGTGGGTGTTGTCTTCCGATTTCTCGGTTACATCTCGAAACTTGCATTGGATGTTGTATACTACTTCATAGGGGATCAGATCACAGCTATAATTAGGTTTATTGAATCAACAATTTACTCCATTCGAGCTTTCTACTCCAGTATAGTTGCATATGCACCAGTACAAGAGCTAACAACAATCATCATTTTGGCATCTTGTGTTCTTGCTATTGGTGAAGCGGCAGTTCCAGATTCTGTGAACAGCCAACCATACCTTCTTACAGCAGCTGGAATAATGGGATTTGCTGCTGTAAGAGGTTATATTTCTGAGTTGTTCTTTTGGTTTATACTCCTAGGCTTGTTTTTCTTTGCTCGATTTATCAGGAGAAGAGATTATGTGTCTTCCGCAATGCCTGCTGCTGCTGCATTAGCTGCTGTGGGAGAGCCTTGGGTTAGACTGGTAGTAATGGTTTCTTACAATGCTTTGGCCATTCTGCAACACTCTAAAATGCATTTGAATAAAAGTGAAGGGGAAACTACCGGTGCTGTTAGGAAGGTCCCAGTTCCTCTGATATGTGCTGCATTGGCCATTGGTGTCCGACTTGCTGCAAAATGGGCTGGTTATCAACATTTGACTTGGATGATCGTTTGATATGCAACAAGCTTGCCCCTTTTTCGAGCTGGTAGAGCAGTCTTAGTTGTTAGTTTCTACAGTGACAGCATGTTCTCTCATTTGGCAAAATTGCTTCTTGTTTCTCTTTTTATTGCCTGTTCAGTTCTTTTTGTACAACTTAGAGCTTATTTTTCTTTCAAATTTTGCTCTGAATGTTCTAAAGTTGTAGTCTTTATTGCCTTCTACATATACTAGAGGGACATGGCCCTTGCACAATTGAGTGTTGCCTATTACAACCTATCTTATACATAATTTGGAAAGTTCAAGTTTGCAATATTTATACCATTCATAAGGTACCCTCACTTTTCATCTGGTTATATGCCATGAGCACAATCTCAATCATTCTTATGTGAAGAATAATCTGCAAAAAGAGAAGATCAAGTCAATTTACAAATGCCAGAAAAATGCACAAATGAAAAACTCAGTGAATTACCAAATATAAGCATGCACTGCCACATAAAAGAAAAAAGTCTAGTGAAGTTATTACATTCTAATAAGATTGAAGTTGTTGATCCACAAAATAAAGAAAGAATACGTAACATTATTACCTAACAATCATTGATTTCAGATTTGATCTCAAAAAATGAGAATTGTTTTTGCAGATTTAGAGCACTGGATGGCTGCTCTGTGATTTTTGTAAAGGTCAGAAGACCAATGTGAAATCTGAGACTAACAAAATTTATCGTCGGTGTCCATCATGTAGAGCTGTAAGTGTTTTCTTTTTACTGTATTCTTCTAGGAATTGTTATCATCTCACATTCCATTATTTTTCCATGGAATATAATTCCAATAAGTTTTTTCTTCATCTTACCGCGCAGACGGGATACTTATTGTGCTCAAAATGCAAAGTTTTCAAATGTGTTACCTTCCCAAATGATGAAGATGGTGAAGTTCTCAGTTTTTGACCTTGTAATATTCATCTTCACTAATTATCATACATTTAATTTTACTCACTTGCAAGCTCATCACCATCTGTGAATATGTAATTTTTCCTCGTATTTTTGTAATCATTACCAGAAAATTAAACAGTTCAGAACTGCAATTCTTTGAGATTTCAGGCAGTCTTACAGATCATTGCATAATTATTTTTGATAAAGGTTCCAACTTGTACGAGTTTGACAAGTTGGGATGAAAAAGGAATTTAAATTGGCTAATACTCCCCTATCAGTATTATATATCATTCTGTATCTAAAAAGTAAGAACATGTGGCGAGATGGTTGAGATCCTTCCACCTTTAATCAAAGATCTCGAATTCAAGCCTTGAGAATGAAAAAAATAAATCTTGTTAGACCTGACAATGTGCAAATCCTCTTGTTCCTCTCATACATTCTCGTGAGACCTTGAGAATCATGTTAAACGAAGCTCTAGATTTTTTTTTTTTTTTTTTTTTTGCAAACATGTTATAACAAGAAGGCAAAATGCTATATAGAGAAAGAAAAAAAGAAACAGGATAATACAATTTAAATTAAATTATGTTATAACAAGAAGGCAAAATGCTAGATTTTTTTTGCCTTGCTTTTTATATTATAACGATTTTGTGCATCACGATGTTTTAACATAACAAAATAATGCAAGATAAACAGCATTTTTGCTGTGACTTAAACATCACCATATAAGAAGCTTGAATAATGAATACAACTTAAAATAATGGGCGAAAATGTCATCAAGTTTTTTCAACTTCTTTTTTTGTTAGCTACTCAAGAAATTGATCCCTTTATACACATGTATACTACAATGGTGTGAGTGTGTTGTGTTGTGTTGTGTTGTGATGTGTCTTAACACACTCACTACATTGAAGTTCTTGAACAGAAACCTCAACTGCTGTCACCAAAATATAAAATTTTCGACAAAGATCCAAGGAACTAGCCAGGTAAATCATTAGCAGCAAGAATATACACTAAACATCAGCACAAAATTTCTTATTTTGTTTCTGGTTCTTTTGGTTTGTGAACTTCTTCCAAACACTCTTTAGCTCTATGTACCTTTGATTGAAGGTAAAAACTCCCGTTTTTAGCATTTCGCTCAAACAAGTTGTCATACTTCTGCAAGAAAAATGAGAAGCGACGTATTAATGTCATATTAAAGACAAAAGCAGTGTCACAAGATAACGGCAAACATTTAAACGAACCTGCACAATTTCTTCCCATGATGAATCCTCTGTGACACCAAGAATCTGTCTTGCCTCTGCTTCCGTCATGGTTTTGCTAGATCTTTTAATATTCTGCACTGCTTCTTGAGCAACACCATTCTTCGAGGCATCTGCCATCAGGATGCAGTTAAGTACAGTGTGAGCAAGATGTGCATGGAAGCAAGGAAAAACAAACCAAACACCCCAACAGCCCCGAAATGCTTATGATGCAAAACAGAATGACTCATATTAATTGAGTACAAAGTTATTCTCAAAAAAGAAGGAACATGAATTCAGAAGATACTTACTGGACAATGCCTGACGATATGCTTGAACAAATGCCCTTGCCAATATAGAAGAGCCCATTACAATTAAATTAGCAAGAATTTTTGCAGCCTGCCTCAAGAACAACATGATTGCATAGTTGCCGAAATAAGATACCATTTCAAGTAAGTACAGGGCTCATGAACTTGAAGAAATAAAACAATATCAACAAACATTGACATAATGTGAGCTATGGCCTGAAATATCCACTTTTTCTATGATAAGAACCATGTTGGTAAAAGAGTTTCAAACTTAATGATTTTACTTTGTTTAAGGGGGGGGGGATTACTCTGCCTGGGTGAGCTCGGGTAAAAGAGGAGGGATGCAATAGCCAATGTAAAACTAGCCCATTAATATGAATCCTCAACAATACTTTGTCTAGGGGACAGAGGGGAGGTCACATGATTAGTCGTTAAACTCTTTTTACTTAGCCATCAAATATGGTTGCCAGTGCAACCTAGCTAAGTAATGGAAGCATAATTGACAATGGCAGAAGGAACATAAGCATATTGGAGACAAATACTTTGAAAATTTTATAGAGCTTAAAGGTAAAAACTAGATCTCTAACTAAATAATTCATTTTTCATTGACCTCAATCACATTGGCCACATTAGAACTAAAAAGAGATTACCCTTAAAAGATTGACTGGTACGATGCAAAACCAAGGACTAAATTAGACATAACTGTAAATTATTGCCTACTTAATTATTTTATCAAAGAAATGCCACAAAATGCAGCATCTTACGGCACTGAGTGGAAGTCATTCAACATGCAAGTATTAGGTGATTTCACACTTATTCAGAATGTTCATGTTCAGCAGACGGGACAAGTAACACACATAAAGGATAAAATGAGAGAAGGTCATTTGAGAAAGTTTAATCATGTCCTATGTTGACCTCTGATGCACTAATCTATAAATGTGAAACTATAATCAGTGAAGGTGTTGAGAGAAAGAGGTAAACCTAAAGTCAAATGGAAAGAAGTTGTTTTGAAAGACCTACAATCTCTTTTTTTTCTCATTTTGCTCCCTTGATAACTCGAATCCTAACCTCATAGTTGAAGATGGAAGGTCTTTACCACAAATGTTATCCCTTCCTTATTGCCCCATTTGCTAATTTCTCAGGCTATTAATGTAATATTCTCTTTACCCTTTTTTTAATAATTTAAATGATTTGATTAATGTTGGGAGATTCTATACAAGTAGAGTATACCAAAAGAGTAGAGAGAAACCCACACATCAAGCATTGCGCTCTTACCACTACGAAAAGCTTGAGTTGAATATCATCCAGATAAGGAATCATGTCTACAAACTTATCACAGAATAAAGAGAGTCATTTCATTAAGCACAAAGGTGGTGCCTAACATTTTGAGTCCCAAAACATACATCAATGTTTCCCTCCTCCCTCCATATTGAAACAGTGTATCAATTTGATATAGGTTGAAGAATTAAAATCGAAGATCCAAACATTATCAAATATAATTTTAAAGACTTTTATAAACCAGCAAAACAATGAAAAAAACCCCCAACAAACCAGCCAAACAATGATACTCAAATTCAAGGAAGAATGGATTGGCAAGCATATCCTGGAAAACATTGCACCAATAATAAAAAAGATAACAGTACAACATACCATTGCCGAAAAATGTTACCTTCTCAAAAAAAAAAAAAAAAAAAAACATACCATTGCTGAAATTCTGAGGTAGCCCTAACCAGGAAAGTGGAAATGTGTAACCTAAGAAACGACCAAACAGCAGAGCAGATCAATCAGATAAAACAATCAAAATCTACTTGAATACATTTATGACTAGTCCCCAGTAAGATCAATAACTATTAACAGTGAAAACAGAAGAAGCTAGAATCCGAGCAACAAATGTTAAACATGTTTCCCTTTCTTTTTGAATAAGGCCAGTCAAGGGTTAAACATGCACGCAGTTAAGCATCAACGAGTTTGGAGAAAGCAACAACATAAATATCCGGATTGAAAAAATATCTTACTGACAACATTTCAGACTAAAAGTATCACAACAAAGAAATAATTCCTTCATGAGTCTTCCATGCTATGCATTTTATTCCACTCATTTACCCCCTCTCCCTAGTCCCTTCTAGTCCAAATTCTTCTACATCTCTGATAAAACTAATCACTGTTACATATCGAATATCAGTGACTTCTTCTTTAAATTATATCCAAGTCAAAATCACTTTCCTCATCAAAAAATGTTACTCCCTCCATTACAATTTGTTTGCCTTGCTTTCCTTTTCGCCCGTTTAAAAAATAATATTTCTTTCCTTTTTTGACAATTCTTTAATATCAACTTTCCACATGACATGTTTAAGAGCACAAGATTAAAAGAAATTTTGGTACATTCGACATCTCTTTAGTTTAAGACCACAAGATTCAAAAGACTTGTTTATGTTCTTAAAATCCATGCCAAGTCAAAATTATACAAACAGATTGAAACGGAGGGAGTCTTTTGTTTAGACTTTTGATGTACTGAAAAGCAAAATCACTTTCTTGGTGAAGCATTGTCACATTTATTAGATTTTAAACCAAACAAAAACAGAAAAGACAAAGCAAAGCTCAAATGTGGAAAATAGATCATCTGTGTTACATAATACTACCAAGAAAAACCTTTCTACTCCCTGCATAGATTTTCTGATGCAGAATAGCTTATCTTTTTCTAGGTATATGACTTTGAGCAAGTGTTCCTCCGTATTAAGTAATTCGATGGGAATGATGGATATCTAGGAGCAGTCCCTTTATTACACTGAAGAAGCAGCAACATTGCCATGAATGGAGATATAAATTTTGATGTAATAATGCAAAAGTAAATTAGTCACTCCACCTAGTACGGAGCGAGACTGGCAGTTGTCTGTGCTTCTTTGGCTAACATGTCAAGCCAACACCCATCTCTATCATTCCTTCTCATTGCTAATAGGACGGGTAAGTCGAATTTCAGAATTCATCTTCTCGAGGCTTGGCAACTTCTGTGCCAGTATGTCCCAAATAATTACTGCAGGCCAAAATTGGATTTGAAAGAGCAAGCCAGAGAAAAGAGGCGTTGAGATAATACCTTTAATCCTAATCTCATCTACTGAAACTTGGCAACTTCTGTGCCAGTATGTCCCAAATAATGTTGGTAATAAAATTGTAACTGGCTTCTGCAGAAACATGCCTCTTGACCAATTATTATCCAGCCTTGGTTCATTTTAGCTTGTAAATGTAACACCACTACTCAAAACACACTCATTATAGCTAACCATAACCAGGGGCTCAATAAAATAGGTGGCCTCCGCCTCAACTTTCTTTATATAGTTAGCTACTTAAAATACAAAGTAGTTAATTCTTATAATCGATTTGATTTTCTTCAAGAGAAAGAAAAGAATTACTTACAACAAAATAGACTGCGGAACACCATCTGGCTTCAAAATTTTACAAATATACATGTTTTAAGTTGCTTTTAGACCTCAAATATTTACAGGGTCAAAAGCCACAGCTTTAGTAGAACCACCCTTGTAACCAAGAGTTTGGGATATTGTGTTCTAAGATAAAGCACAAGATTGCAAAGTTTGGTTTTTTACCGCGATCTTGGAATAAGTTATTACACCATGTATATGGAATAAAATAATCCTACATTTCATATTGGGATTATTATACCTTATACCCTACACCAAACGAGTCCTGAAATAGCTTAGTGGCCTCCTAATAGAATAAAGTCTCACCATTATCATCACACTTTGTAGTCAACTAAAATACTTGAATCAATCATTATAGCTGTACTCAACCAATTATGAAACAAATTGAAATAGATTAACGGGTAACTGTACAATTTATTTGATATACCCAAATTGTGATTAGTATCAGCTAAAGCGCATGAGTCCTATTCAAACAATAATCAAAGCATATAAAGTTACCAATTTTTTTTAAAAAAACATAATCAAAGCATATCGATGACCTCCCCGAAATGATCTTTATTTTTATTTTTTTGTGAAGTTGAAAACTTTAAAGAGAAATGAAAATTGGAAAGCGTACCTTTTGAGAGGGAAGGCGAAATATGAGTGAAATCAGATAGTAATAATTCTCTGGGAAAGAAATATGGCTGATTTTATATGTCCATTCAAATGATCTTTTTATTTATTTTTGGTGGGAGAGGTTTCTTGATTCTCCTAGAAATTACACACAAAGGGCTAATGGGACCAAGGCTCTCGTTTTTTTTTTTTTTTTTTTAAAGTTTCACATCCTAACTTATCAATTTATGTACTTGTCTACTTCTGAATTGTTATCATTTAAAGTCAAAGGTGCATCCAATGATACTTTTTAAGATATAGATATAAATTTTTATAGTAACAACAACTTGATGAATAAATATAATTGGTTACATTATCACAAAAATATCATTATGTTTTAAAAAGAGAAAAGTATCAAAAATATCTTAAATTTGGCATAAATTATTTATTTCTATCCCAAACTAGTATACGTGCCCGCGCATTGCGCGGATAATTTAAAATGTAATAATTTTATAATTAAAAATAACTAATAATACAAATCATTAACTTGTGTATTTGAACAATATTAAATTAATATCATTAGTACACAATTTAATTTATTATATTAAAATATTATATATATATATATATATATATATATATATATATATATATATATATATATATATATTCTTTTTATGTTGTTTGAATAAAAAAATTATGTTAATAATTTATCAATTCTAATCTTCCATATGAAATATTTGATATCATAAGACTAAATAACATGTTGAAACATTTTATATATGTTTATTCAAAATTAAAAGATTCAAAATATTATTTATTGTACTAATTTGTGTAAAATATAGTATAAAATAAAAATAATCTTAATTAGTACAATCGCTATATTAGATTTAATCAAGATATGTAGATGATATATTAAATTTTAATTTGAATTATATCATAAAACGTATGGATATGAATGAGAGGATGTTTATTTGAATTTTATCTGATAAAGCTTATTATATGTAATTATAGTTATCTTTGAATTCAAATTTAAAAAGGTAAAAAATTGAAAAATAAAAGCTTATCGTATATTTTAAAA